AGCCTGGGACACGTTCATTTTGAGGTGCTGGTGAAACATTCAGTTAGTCAACGAGCATTTATTAAAGCACCTGCTATGTGCTAAGAATGATAGTAAGGACTGGGGAAAAGCAAAGCAAAAAAAAAAAAAGTCGCTGCTCCCAAAGGAGCTCGTGGTCCTTTGGAGGAGGTAACATGCAAACAACTATGTACGCTCAAGGAATGAGATTGTGTTATAAGCAGTTGAAGACTTGGGCTGGCACTGCCAAGGTACTTCAGAATTGGAGTTATAGATTTAGGAGCCATCTGCATAATAGGGTTAGTTACCAAAGATCAGAGTTAGAGGTTCAAGAAGAGGACCTTGAAGAACACCTTAAGAGGCCAGAAGGAGGATAAGGAGATAGAAAAGTAGTTTGAATGAAAGAAAGAAAAAGCCTTTATTAAGCATTTGCTATGTGCCAGGAACTGTGCAAAGTGTTAGGAATACAAATACAAAAAAAAGCAAGATACTCCCTGCCTTCAAGGAGTTCGCATTCTACCTGTAGGAGGAAGGGATAGGAAGGAGGGATAGAGGAGTGGGGGAGGGGCATGCCTTGGTTTAGGAAGTCACAGGAGTGATGAATTGATTGATAGACCTGCCAAGAATAGAAGAGTTCATTTGATTGCTCTTTCCAGAGCAAAAAGTGAAAAGCAAACATAATTAAGCATCGGTGTGCCGGGTGCTAAAGGCTGACTTTGTCAGCTATGTAGTCATAGAATAATTTGCATCATTTGTGGCAGCATGGCATGAAGATGACCAGCTAGGTGGCACAGTGGATAGAGCACCGACCCTGATGTCAGGAGGACCTGAGTTCAAATTCGGCCTCAGACAAAACACCTGACACTTACTAGCTGTGTGACCCTGGGCAAATCACTTAACCCCAATTGCCTAAAAAGGAAAAAAAATAAAGATAAAGATGGCAAAGTGTCAGAGGAGAACACAAAGGATATGGTGACCCTTTCCTGATCAACAAAATTCAGTACCTCCCTGTTTCCTCTGGACAAAACACAAACTTCTATGCTAGGCATCTAAAAGCATCCTTACCATCTGGCTTCAGCCTACATTTCCTGACCTTTCACATACTCTACTCCAGCCGAAGTGACCCACTTGCTGTTCCCAACCTTAGCATTCCATCTTCTACATCCATGTAATTGCACAGGTAGTCCTCCATACGTCGAATCCACTCTCTTCTTTCCTTAGAGACTCTCACTTCCTTCAATGCTCAGCTCATATGCTAATTTCAAAGGCAAGATCTCTCCTCAAATTAGCATGCACGTACTGTTTCCATATTGTATCCTCCTGTAGAATGGAAACTCCTTGAGGGCAGGGACTATTTTTCACTTTGCTTCTGGATCCCTCATGCACAGTACTTGTTGAGACCAGATTCTTTGGGGCTGAAGAAAAAGGAGGAGGCCATGAAGAAAGAGATTAAAGATGCAAAAGAAAGAGGATGATTGATGGAGAAGGGCTCTAGTTGGAGCAGCCATCATCCAGAGAGCAACCTCTATGGAGATTGGTCCTCTCATCCTCACCAGCATTAGCCATTGACCAATTGCCAGCAGCAGCAGGCAAGCCAGTCTAACTGAAGGAGCAATATGCTCTGAGAGGAAGTTAGAAGACAATATGTTCCAGAAAAACAAAACCATATCAATTCTCAACTACCACCTCCCCTCAAACCCTGGCGGAGGTAACCCAGAGCCTTATGCCTAAGAGCAATAAAAATGAGAAGTGTCCCCCCAAACCACCGGCCCTGATTCCAGTCTGGACTCTACAACCCTTGTAGGGACCCAAGGAATTTTCATCACCAAAAACCTTGGGATTGTTAAATGGTTCAAAGTCAGAAATGGATATTTTTTTAATCAATAGATATGACACTAAAGAAGATTCATGACCATCCACCTTGCTGTTATACCCCAAGGAACATAGCACCTTTCCATCTGACCTGTAGTTGAACCCTCTTCTATATATTATCTCCCCCCCATTAGAATAGAAGTGCCTTGAGAGCAGGGACTATACTCCAGTGATTGTCCAGCCTTAACAGGAACTAAGAGTTGACATTTGTTTAGTGTTTTATGATAACAAGAAAGCCTTATGCACAGTTTTTTCCTTTTATTCCTCAAAATAACTATATGAAATAGCCAGAAAGCATTACCATCTCTATCTTACAGATGAGCAAATTAGAGTACAGTGAGGTTCAGAAGATCTGGGTTCACATATAGCTTTAACACTTACTAGCTGTGTTATTGAGCTGGGATATGAGCCCAAACATTCCAATTCAAATCTAATGCTCCTTACATCATGCCATGTCACTTCTCCCACCCTTTTCACTCGAAAATGTCTTATGTTGGATATCAGCGCTGGGAGAAAGATGAGTTAGTCCTTTATTGCTACAGAATAATTTTGTCCTAAACACTGAGAATCATTGAAATGTACAACTACAGAAATATAAAAGAAGCAATACAATAAAAAAAAACTCTTCATGGATACAGTGGAATAAATATTGATCTTGGGCTCAGAAGTAGTAGGTTTGAGTCCAGATCTGATGTTAGCTGTGTAGTCCTGCATTAATGGAGACAATTAATTGTCCATGCATTGCCTGCCTAACAGATGTGTTGTAAGGAAAGAGATTTGTGAGCCTTGCACATGAGTTTTTACTTAAATATGAGTTATAATTATAACATTATAAAATGATATTATTATATAATATATTACATATAACATCATAGTTTGTCCTCCTATTACATGTAATGTTATTATATTATAATAATCAACAAAAATATTAATGTTGCAACACAGGACCCTATGGAATATAGAAAACCCTTGAAAGGCCTCTGGGCCAATTCCTAATCACCCAGAGCTTCCAGAAATATCCCTGCACTATAGGCTACTCCATTATAATCTTGATTCAATCCTTACTGAGTTGACCTGCAACTGTAGCATTAATGCACCAGGAATATAGCCCCAAATGGCACCTAAAATTCTAACAGCAATGTCACTCACTATATGAAATATGGCCACATATTTAATTCCAAACCCCAGAAATGTTTAAATAAGCAAAGAATGACAGTGCCACATGGTGAAAAGAAGACTGATTGTGTAGTAAGAGGAACTGGGTTTGACTCCCAGTTCCGCTACTTACCTAAGTCAACTGACTCAAGTTCATTTTCTCTCGCTGGGCCTATTTCCTCATCTAAAAACAGTCAGACCAGAAGATCCCCAAAATACCTTTCTGCTCTAAATCTATGATCCTATTCTCTGTCTTCACCCAGTTACTCACTATACTCTTCGCAGAAATATTTATTTTGTCCCCATTTGTCTGACTCTGTTTTTGTAATTTCATAATGATTTTAAAATACTCAATTACTTGCAACTTTAATCATCTGAATTTCATATTTAATTATGCGTGAACTTATGAGGCCTATAAATGGCGCTCTGTTTTCAAGTAATCAAATAGCATTCATGGGCAAAAAGCAGTAATTGGTATAATAATTCAGTACATGTGGATAGAAGGGATGATCACCAAAATCATTCCCACAGACCTTGAATGCCAATGTGAACTTCTTTAGCAACCATTATCTCCACAATGTCTCGTGAAATGTCGAAGTGAATACTGGTTCCTTGTTGAATAGTGCATCATTTCAGTCTGATAAATTTCAGGGGATAGAGTTATTTAAACACTGCATTGAGGAAAACATTAAGTCAGGAGAAAGGGGGTGCAATGTCATTTCACCATCACTGAAAAGACCTGGGTTATTCTATGATGTTACAGATCTGGGATCTGGGATATATTTACCTCCTTGTTCAATGGTAAATGTCTCCCTAACCCATAACTAAACCTCTTAGAACATTAAACTGTCAGGACTCCTACCAAGAGACCTCTTTAAAGAACTTTTTCTCCATAATGAGTTTTCTTGCCTATACTATTTCAGACAATAAATTTGATTTGAGAAGGGCCAAGCAGCTCAGAAATCCAAAGATATCTTTCCCACTAGCATCAGCCTTCCTCAGTGACTTGAAATTGTCCTTGTTAACATTCAATAAGTTAGGTACAAACAAGTGAAGGTGTTGTCTCCAGAAGGCCAAGGTCACTGAGTGACCTTGGTTGGGTGACTTTCCTCACTAGGTCTCAGTTTCCTTACCTATAAAATGCGGGGGTTGTACTACATAATGTCAGAGGCCCTTTCCAATACTAGCATTCTAAGATTCTAGGCCATTAGAAAATGTGCATGATTTGACAGCCTGTTATCTCCTCTGACCACAGGTCAGCTAATTAGCAAATTTCACCCAAGGGAGAGATCACAAGATCATTGACCCAATGAAAGAAGGGCCCTCAGAGACCATCTAATCCGACCTCCTTGTTTTACAAATAAGGAAACCACGATAACAAGCTGAAGAAGGGTGGGGGAAAGGGTGGCAGAATAGCTCTTCATAGAAGTGGACACCATAACCTCAATGAATAGTGTTAGATTTAGGGTCAGGAAGACCCGAGTTCAAATCCTACTTCAGATACTTACTAACTCACCCTGGACAAGTCACGTGACCTCTCTCAGCTTGTTTCCTCCTATGTAATGTAAAATCAGGGTAAGAAAAGCCCCTTCCTCCCAGAATTGTTGTGACGATCTAATGAAATAATACCTATAAATGGCTTTGCAAATCTGAAAGCACTGTATAAATGCTAACTATTATTCTAAGAGCACCATCCCTCTCTCCAGCCTGGTTATTCTTGTCTGTACTTACTCCAGCTTGTCTATGTCTTACCTAAAACGCGATTTCTGAACACCAGTATGCCGGGGGGGGGGGGGGGGGGCAGAGTAGAGTGGAGCTTCACTTCCCCTCATTGGACACTAAGCCTTGCTTCATATAGCCAGGAATAGCATTAGCACTCTTGTCTGCCATAATTCTTAATTGGCTTCTATTGAGTTTGCCCATCACTGAGTAGTGATGCACACAGTTAGCATTTGTTTTGGCTATTTGTTTCTTACCTGAGCATGAAAGGTTTGAGAATGGTGACTCCGAGCAAAAAAAACATAAGGATGGAGAAACCCATCATCGAAAACCCCAGGAGAATAGCTCGGTCTTCTCCTGCACTGGAAGGGAGCTTTTTCTGCACATCTGAGGCAGGCTCACCATCACCATGGTCTTTCTTTTTCCTCCTATCAGAAGTAGAGAAGGCCGACCTTTGACAAGATTGATTAAAAATTATTATTTTTAAATTATCATCATAAGTATGCATAAGCATAAAAATTTACCAGCTCCTCAAAAGAAAACAATTCCCATTTGTTGTCATTCCCCAGGTATGACTATAAATGGAAAATAAAGTAAATCCACACCAATTCATACTAATAGGGGGAGAAGAATGGTCTACATTAATGAAAAGTTTTCATCATAGAATTTTTTTAATGAAAGCAATTTTGTTCCTTTCAAGGAATAAACTCATCTGATCATTCAATGTGATGTAGAGAAAGGGGTTACATATAGTCAAAAGACTCTAATTTGAATCCCAGCTCGTCTACTTATTACCTGTGTGACCTTGAACAAGTCACTTAACGATTATGAGCCATGATATGTAAAGTGAAGTAGTATGACTAGATGACCTCTAAGGTTACTTCCATCTCTAAATCTCCATCTCTCAGAATCCCTAGTTTTCTTCAGGAAGCCTTTCATTGCATTCTCAGCTACTAATACATTCCTCCCTCCACCGAACCCACCCATCACTTTGTATCACTTTGTATATGTAAATATCCAACCTAATTTCCCCCCAAAAGATTCCTTGTGTCTATACTGTATTTGTATCTCCAGCACCTAACATTGTACTTGGCTCATAGCAGGCACTTCAAAAATATGTGTTGATTAATTGGTTTTGTACATACTAATATATGTACACATATAACCTATTCCCCTCCGACCTGACTGTAGTTCTTGAGGGCAAGAACTAGTTTCACTTTTGTCTTTGAATCATCTCCTATACCCAGCAGAGCGTCCCACACACAGTTGGTTCTTAATAAATGCTCATTGATTGATCCTAAGACTAAACTAGCAAGTATGGCCTAATAATGATAACAGCTTGAATTTATGTAGCACTTTAAGGGTTACAAATCACTTTTACATTCATTATTTCATCTGTGTCTCACAATCACCTTCTGAGGTAGGTGCTATTTTTTCCCCATTTTTTAAGATAAGGAAACTGAGCCTCTGAGAGGTTAATGACTTGACCAGGGTCATGCAGCTAGCATCTGAAGCCAGATTGTAATGAAGATCTTTCTGACTCCAAGCCTAATAGTCTATCCACTATGGCATACTTCTTAGGCATCCTTAGCTTTTTGTGGGAGAAATATCTCTTTTCTGAGTAAATGTACTAGGTAATTGCTGCTAAAATTGATCTACCTCAACACAAAGCGT